CAAGCTACTTGGAATTACTCTAGCTTCCACAAACATTCCTGAATCCCCAGTTTCTTTAATGAGTTTGATCAGGAGTCCCAAGTTTCACAACACTAAAAACTAGGAGTCAAAATCTCATTGCTCAGAAGCCATGTTTTGTTTTGGGTTATTGTTTATTTTATTTTTTAAAAAACTGCTTTATAACCATGAATTACAGCCAGGCTACACGTTGCAGAAACTGTGTGGTTAGCAACTGTGTGGTCTGCTGTTCTTTTTTTAAATAGAAAACTAGGTGCAAGGGCCCCTGGTTTTCAACAGTGCCTGGGAATGGGAGGTTTAACCTTTGTCTCCCCAGTCACAATCCCAATGGAAATCCCTTACTCCTGGCAGGGGTTGTACAATTCTTATTGGGATGGTGGCTGGGCAGGGAAGGGATAAACCTCTGCCAAACAGGAGTGTGGAACTTTAAACAGAGCCCTATGGTTCTAGAGGAGGAGGATTTGCCAAGAGGTCATTACCATTGTACTATATATACATGTATGCATATATATATATATATATATATATGCAGGTTTTGGTGTCCTCGGGTGTCTTCCCGTGTAAAAGTTGGGGTGTCTAGGCGACGTTTCGACGAGGTAGACCTCGTCGAAACGTCGCCTAGACACCCCAACTTTTACACGGGAAGACACCCGAGGACACCAAAACCTGCATTCCTGTACCCGTGAAAATCTACGAAAGCAAATATATATATATATATATATATATATATATATATATATATATATGTATGCATATGCAGAGGTATTATGCTTTTGAAGAAACCCTTCCAAGTGAAAACCTAGCATGACCAAACCAATAAAATATGCCTAAGCTTGCACACAGCCTACAGCGATCACGGTGGAGTCGTAATGAAGCAACTCGTACGTCACGGACGAGCACTTAATTAACCCACTTAATGTGCTTCCCTTGCAAACTCCAACTGCCCCAACACTTTAACAAGCTTCCAAATGCTAGTTCTTTGCCGTCAGGCCATGGAGGTGTTCAGCCCTCCTCCCCTGGCACACAAAGCGCAGTCTATCCAACGGATGCCACGCTACAGCTCAGTGCCACACAACGGGCAGAGCGATGCTTTATAGTTGAGCAAAGCTCGCCCAAACATGCTGGGTTTGCACGCGGGATGGTATTCTTGTAGGGGAACCACCACCTCAGAATGCAGGCTACAGGGCATTCTCTCCCTGCGGCTTCTTCTTCCCACACTGCTCTGCTAGCAGGTTCGATCTAAAGGATAGCCTAAGGCAGACTTCCCAACCTGGTACCCTCCAGCAGTTGCTGGACTACAACTCCCATCATGCCTAACCATTAGCCATGCTGGCTGGGGCTGGTGGCTGTTGTAGTTCAATGTACCTAGCATTTGGAAGAAACTAGCATTTGGAAGCCACTAGGGTTGGAGAAGGCTGTCCTAATGGCTCCCAATGCGGCTTGTGGTTAAAGCTAAGAAGTGCCCAAGGTTCAGGGGCGGCCTGGTTACTCCCTCTGACTTTCTTCTAGTTAAAAAAAGGGGGGATATAAATGTAATTAATAATGTGCATGAAGGGAAGACATTGCTGGGGTGATGCAGAATGCACCTGGGAGAGTATTTGACTGACAATGCTCCGATATCAAAAGTCATCTGTACATGGAGAACTAACTCATCAGAAGTGCTTTTTTCTGGAAACAGGGTGGGGGAACTCACCACAAAGTTAGTTAGTTTCTTTCTTTCTTTGTTTATTGAGGGGCCGAGTCGCAGTGCCACCTTCCCACCCACCCTCACCCCGGGCAATGGCTAAATGTAAGATGTGACTAATAAACTCAAGCAGTTAATAAATAAGGATAAGAAATGGCCACAACTTTATTGATTACAGATATAGGTGGATTTTTTGATCAGGCATTGGGTGTATATCCGTTCCAGCCCTCACAGACATAATAATAATAATAATATAATAATATAATAATAATAATAATAATAATTTTAAAGGTAAGGGAACTCAGCTCCCTTAAGTTCCTGCTCAAACCCTCCCCCCCCCCAAAAAAAACCCAAACCCTGCCCACCAGGAAGACGGACTGCAGCCTAGCCATTCCTTAGGCTTGCAAGTGTGCCAGGAATGCTGCATAGTCCCTACAAAGAGGTCTGTACACAATGTGAGAAATGAAAAAAAATAACAGGGTAAACCACAGGTAGCCCACCCATCATTTCAGAAATTGTGTTCATCTGTCCTAAGGCAAATCTGAACTTGGGGGGGGGGGAGGGGAACGCACACATACATTTATACCAATTTCATTCTTTTTCAGTTTAGGGCAGTTTTATAGGTGCCCACAAATCAAGCAGGAACCATGGATACTGACAACACTCTTCAAGGTGGCAACCATTCAAACTCTGTTTATTCCGATCTGTGTGTCTACCAGGAATTTCTCGAGTTGAAATTAATAAGAGTAGTGAAAGAAGCACACAGATGCTCACTTGCACAGCTCCCCATTCATTTCAATGGAACTAGGAGAAAGTTCCCTGTGATTGCGTGCTTTGTGGTTTTTTTTTTTTTTTTATAAAATTTTTATTTGGTTTTCTGGTTTTATAAAGACAAAACATACACAAAGAAAAGAAAAAGACAAAAACATGTATAAAATCAACCAATCCCCGTTTCATAAACTTGTTCCCTGACTTCCCCCCACCTCCCCTCTTGCATCCCAGTTTCAAGATTATATCAGCAAGTTGGTATTTCTCCTCTTAACAATGTTATTCATCACCTTATTTTATAATAAAAATTAATTTTCCTAAGTTGGACTTAAGTTCTCTTCCATCGATTTTCATTTTATCTTAATTAAGAGTCATATTAACCAAACCTAAAAGTCTTAAGAGTTTTTAAGAGTCTCTTCTTCCCTCCCTCCCATCCCCGGTTTTTGTCCCTTCCCAATAAAAGTCCAAATTCGAATTTCTCAGCCTGGGTTCCTCACGTCCGAGGCTTTCAAATCCCTTTCAGTCCCTCTCCGCCTGTCCCGTTGGTAGTCCTTTATGTCAGTCATCAAGTCTGGGAAAAGTTCTTTCACCATCAAAGTGTTTCCTCTTCCCACAAGGGGGTTCAAAAGTAACTGCTGAAGAATTTCCACAAAGCCTATCTCTTCAAGATCAAAGTCCAAACGGAGGCCCCAAGCATATTTCTTTATTTTAAATTTCTGTGTTCCATTTTGTCCCGGGACCTCCTTCTTCTTCTTCTGTATCTTTCGCAGACTTGTAGTAGATATGTTCCCAGCGTTTCCTTGCTTATGTTCCGCAGATGTCAACTTTTGGTTGTTACTTCCCAGGATTACTTCTTCTTTTTCTTGTTGTTTAGTCTCTTCCAACTCTGTAGGTATTGTTTCCCATTCAGCTGTGAATTCTTTCTCGTTGAGGTCCTCAATACAAAGAGCAGAGTTGCCTGTTCCCAAGGTCATAGTCTCAAGCTGTTTATTCATGGCCAAGCTCTGCTCTTGTAAAGTTCCCACCAATTGAAACATCCTTTCAATTTCCACCAGTAACTTTCCTTCCACAGCCATTGTATCCATTGTAGTTTCACAGAATTCCCCCTAGGGGGAATCTGGTTACTTATTAGCCTTTTCACCAACAATCCTTTCACTGATTATTATTACTTTGTTTCCAACGATTTTAGCTCAATTGTAACTCGTCTTAGTCAAGAGATGACAATTTTTGCACTTTAAACCGACCGTTTGGCAGCTTTGACAGCTGTCAAACTCCGCAGCTCTTACACAGGCACCGAGGCAGGACGTTCCCGGGCCCGGGAGGGGGGGGTTGTTTGAAGCAAAAAGAAAGTTCCCAAAACTCCACTCTCCAGCCCAAAATTTCCTTTAGTTAAATCTTAGAAGTTAATGTCCTTTTTAACTCACCCCACCAGGGGTAGGCTCTCCAGCTTAGCTCTTATGCCGTTGCTTAGATCGTCTGCAAGAGGGGGGGTGCGGACTTCCTTTTAGCACACCCCCCGATCGTCTCCAATTCAAGGTAAAATTTTTATATAGTCCCAATCCGTCTTACTCACGGGTAATTCTTTCAGTCCAAATTTTCAAGGAAGGAAGTCAGCGCTCTCTGGTCCTGGCTCGCGGCTTCACTCCACCGAGGTAGCGATCGACTCTCAGTGCCACGCCACCCCCGTATCCCCTCCGCAGCCTTTAAAAAGGCTCTTTGCGAATCAGGGGGGGCGCTTAAGGCACCCGCCGAGTCTTCAGTCCGCAGGCTTCCGCGCCTGCGGTTTTTAAGGGTCCCCGCGTCGCCGGCGCGGCAAAGACCCATCCTCAGTGGAGCCGGTTCCCTCCGGAGCTCGGAGGGAATCCGCCATTTCCAGATCGCGTCAACCCGGAAGTCCTGCTTTGTGGCTTTTAATGATGGGAAAACTTAAGGTACTTTAAATGTCATGGGATTGATCATCATCATCGCCATTTTGCTATTTTCTCCTTTATGGGAAAAGCAATGTTTTATTATTATACGACACAATTATGATTTTTCTAAAAAAGAACACCCACATGCCCATTTTATTTGGTACTCCAAATCTATGCTTACAGCACAACGTTTACTTGGGAAGTAAGTCCTACTATGGTCTCTGTGGGGCTGAGTTTCCTCTTAGTATGCCTAGCAGGACTGCAGCCTTATAGCCTAATTCTTCTCTTCTTCAAGCCCTGGCAGCAAGGAAGGATTTTAATAACACTTAGCAAGTTTTACTGTTTGCTTGTGCATTTTAATCTGCAAAGTGCTTTGGCACCCATGAACTCCTTTTAATTACAGGGCCGGGGACTTTACTGAAACGGAAGAAATGTGGTCTCATTTTGGCCTTTTGCTTTGAAGTTTTGTTTCCCACCTTCTTTCTTTTGGAGGCAGTAGGATGTCAGGATAGCAGCATTTCCATCTCTCCCTCCCCCAACCCCCCACATTAACATCTGGCAAGCCATTTGATCCAATTGCTTAGGTGGGCACCTTTCTGGTTTCCAGGCAGGAGAGTGAATTTGCCTGAAAGGGGTAAAATCAATAAGAGGGAGATCGTCTCTGATCAAACAGTACAGCTGCTCAGACAGACACAGAGAAAATTGTGTGAGTGTGAGAGGGGTGGCGGGAGGAGAGAACCACGTGATAGGAAAGGAAAAAGGCGGCAGCAAAGGAAGGGCAGTGTCAGACTCCCAGGCAGAGCCGATTGTGACACACACAGAGGCGCTGCTGGAAGCAGCAACAGAAGCAGCAAGCAGGAGGAGCTGCAACTCTGGAAGTTGGCAGTTTCCCGGGACTCCCCGGGCTGAGCGTACGCGCCGTGTGTGTCGGAGGGAGAGAGAGAGAGAGTGACGGGAAGGGGAAAGATTGCAAAGCTTCAAAAGGAGGCGAGCCTGTGTCTTACGCGGCCAGCGGAGGACTTGGATCATGGAGAGCCCCAAACTGGAATCCATTTAGCCAAGAGGAGGAGGAGGAGGAGACGGCGTCGGGCAGGGAGAGAAGAGCCGAGAGGCTGGAGCCATGGCTCGGCTGGGCTCGCGGGCCGTCCGACTTGGCCCGCCGCGGCACCCTTGAGCGCTTCTATGGGGGATCCCCCGCTGGGCGGGAGTAGCCGCGGGCCCCAGCAGCTCCAAGCCCCCAGCGCAGGCGCGCCCTGATGGAGCCGGAGGGAAGGAAGATCTCGGTGTGGATCTGCCAGGAGGAGAAGCTGATCTCGGGGCTTTCCAAGCGCACCACTTGCTCGGATGTGGTGCGGGTGCTACTGGAGGACAGCAAGCAGAGCCGACGGCGGAGGCAGCAGCAGCAGCAGCAGCTGGCGTCGCTGCAGGAGTGCGGCGGGGGGATGCTGTCGGGGGTCCCGCAGTCTTACTGCATCGTGGAGAAGTGGCGCGGCTTCGAGCGGATCCTGCCCAACAAGACCAAGATCCTGCGGCTCTGGGCCGCCTGGGGGGACGAGCAGGAGAACGTGCGCTTCGTGCTGGTGCGCAGCGAGGCGTCGCTGCCCAACACGGGCCCGCGCAGCGCCGAGGCCCGCGTGGTGCCCAGCAAGGAGAGCCCCTGCCAGCATGGCTTGGCCACGGCGGCGGCGCGGGCCAGCCTGGCGCTGACCCAGGAGCGGCAACGGCGCGTGGTGCGCAAGGCCTTCCGCAAGCTGGCCAAGATCAACAAGCGCAAGGGGCAGCCGTCGGGGCAGCCCGACGAGCCGCCGGCCAAGGAGGCGCCGGCCGCCGAGAGGATGGAGACGCTGGTGCACCTCGTGCTGTCGCAGGACCACACCATCCGCCAGCAGGTGAAGCGCCTCCGCGAGCTGGACCGCGAGATCGACCGCTTCGAGGCCAAGATCCACTTCGACCGCATGAAGCGCCACGGCGTCAATTACGTGCAGGACACTTACCTGGTGGGCGGCGGCGGCGGCGACACGGAGGTCCCCGACGGCGGGGAGGAAAAGGAAGGGGAAGCGCAGGGGGGATTGGAGGCGGCGACCCTCGACGGCGACCTGGAGGAGTACGCGCGCAAGTGCGAGGAGGTGGCGCTGCTGCAGGAACAGTGGCGCCGCCAGGAGGACCTGCTGGAGCACTTGGCCGGCGAGATCCAGGAGGAGCTGAACGAGCGCTGGATGAAGCGGCGGCGGGAGGAGCTGGCGGCCGCCAAGGGCTCCAGCGCCAGCCTCTCCGAGACGGACTGCAACACCACCGAGCTGGTGGGCGGCGGCGGCGGCGGCGGGGAGCTGCACGTCGAGCAGGAGCGCGTCAAGACGCAGCTGAGCACCAGCCTCTACATCGGGCTGCGCCTCAGCACCGACCTGGAGGCCGTCAAGGCCGACCTGGACTCGACGCAGCGCGCCTGGGCCGACAAGGAGAGCGAGCTGCAGCGCCTCCTCGACACCATCCGCTCCCTCGACGTCCAGGAGGAGGCGGGCGGCGAGCTCGAGCAGGAGGCGGCCCCGTCTCTCCAGCTCCCCGTCGAAGACGACGACGACGACGACGGGGGCCAGCTTCCCCCCGACCCGGCCCCGATCACCGCGGAGGTGTGGGGGGAGCAGGCTGCGCGCGGCTTGCGCAAAGACTGCGACGACAACGACGAGGATTCCGACACGGGCTTGAGCTCCATGCACAGCCAGGACTCGGACTCGCTGCCCGTTTGCGAATCCCTGGTATAGCGGCGGCCTCCCCCCTCCCCCCACATGTCATCTCAGGGACCGCAGAGTTGGGCTTCCCCTCGGGTTTTTATTATTATTATTATTTGTTTGTTTGTTTTGTCTTTTGCAAGATGCTCAGACGGGGAGTTCCTGGATCTCTCCGCTTCCCCCTCCCAACAAAGATCTATTTTTCAAAACGACTCAAGGAGGCACATGCTTTCATTCTGATAAAATATAATAATAAAATTCATGTTTGTAGTTAATTTGTGGTCACCGGGAATCATAACATACATTTGTGCACCTAAAAACACCGGCTTCTCTTTTTTTCTGAAGTAAAAAGCATCCCACCCTAGAGGTATTGTTTTTCAAACAAAAAGTTCGAAGGAAAGACATCAGCTGCGTTTTGATGCCCACTGACTGCAGAGGGTGTGCGGGGTTCTCTGAAGGAATGGGAAAGGGAGATTATATTGTATCATAGCCGTTTGATTGCATCTTAATTGTGGCTTTGACATTGAAACGTGTTAAAGCGAGTCCCTGGCAGGCAGATTTCAGGCTGACTCCTTCCTACTTTTATCTTTTAAAGAAGCAGCAAGAGAAGGGTATTTGCATTTCATTTAATATTGGAATAACCTGTTTCCTTCAGATTCATACCTTTTTATTTCACATCAAAGATTGTTGAATGGGAAGTTCTAACCCTTCAGTTCTGCAATGTAAACATGGGACAGTATGCATTTCTTTGTAGAATTCATTTGATTTATGTTTTCCAGTTGAAACAGAACACTTAGCAGCTTGATCTTTTTTCCCTTTCTTTAAAGGCAGCTGTGTAACTTGCCATGAAATAATTAGTTTGCTCCTTTGATGATGATGTTTAATAATAAGGATGGACACAGCAGCAACACTGGGTGATTAATAACTCACTCACAAGTATGTATGCTGTAGAGTGTTTTGGAATAGATTCCAGTTGATTCCCTGATGCCCTTAACAGCAATAGATATCATATGCATGTGTACATGGGGTCATGCAGGTGTGTGTGGGGGTTAATTTAAATGCTAATAATGAACCACTGAAGGCAAACGAAACTAAACCACACCACAAAAAAATGTAGTATCTGTTCCTCTCAGAAATGGATGATGGATGCAGAAGACCTAACATAATTTGCTCAAAACCAACAGAAGACTTTTGGAAACACCAATATGTCTAGCAAGCCCATTTCCCCATAAGCAACCCCCAAACAATAGCAGAATAATTGTATATTTTAAATAAAATTGACTTAAATTAGGTCTTAGCCTAAGCCAAAGTAATCCATCAGTGCTGATTAAGTCAATGCTGCGTAAGAACCTTCCCATCACATATGCCAGTGCCTTAATTGAGCTATTGCCCTGCTACCTTGAATAACGTTTCAGTAACAATGGAACAATATCTTGCTACTCCTTCTGTAATATCCACAACTGAGCAATATTACTTCACATTTATTTCATTCCTTTAAAACACCCTTCATCCTCTTTCAATTTCAAGGCACTTATATCATAAATGCAAATCAACCACAATGAAATTAATCTTTAAAAACCATTCAGCACCCCCCCCCCATCAAGACTAAGCCTTAACCACTTAAAATGCCCAGGAGAGCTTAAATGTTTTAGCCAAAAAGAATAGAGATTGCAGTGTAAATGTGAGGTGCACCTCTTTTGGGATGATATTCCATATCATGGTGCCATATCTATTTTTAAAAAAAGCCCTCTTATATGTAACCGAACAGTATAACTCTGAAAAAGATGGTACTCAGAGAAGAGTCTCAGTAGAAGATCTGAAAGCCCTGGCAGGTTCCTAAAGAAAAAGACTCTACCTCAGATATTTGGACCCCCTAACAATTTCAGGCTTTAAAGGTAAGTACCAACACTCTGAATTGGACTGAAATGTACTGTAACTTGTCCTTTAAGACAGTCAGCTGCTCTTCAGTACCAATCGAAATTTCTGAGTCATCTTCTGGGGCAGCCCCATTTATAATGCATTATGGTTGTCCAACTGGGTAAACTAGTTAGGGGTGTACTCTTGGTTAAGAGTCTGAAAAGGGGGAATGGAAACCCTTCAAATAAATTTTCAAAGTTTCAGAATTGGGGAACCAGCGGTGCTAATTCCATTGGTGTCAAAGGATGTTTTCCACCTGTGGCGAAGTGCAGCTTGCATGGGAGTGATTGGTTGGGAACAGGGAGGAGAAGGAAAGAGCAGACCTGATTGGGTCTCTGTGGTTGCTATTGAAAACCAGATACCTTTGCAGACGGGCACTATTGGAAAGTCACAGCATGCAGGTGCGAAGTTGCTAACCTCACTGTTGGCCTCACAGACTATGACCATGACCCAAAGACCAACTTCAGGCATGCATGCCCACCAACTTTCCCCTCTTTGAACCCTATTCTATGCAGCATTTGGAATTCCACTCAGTTTCAAAAGACCTTTGAGTAGCTACTTTTTGATAAATGTAAGTTCAAAACACCTTTGGTCCGATGGAGCCAGGGCGACATTCAGTGAATGTCTTGTCACATTTGTACAACCGTGTTCCACCTGCCAATTTTGCAACAAATGTGCTGTCTGGAAAGTAAATGAGATATCCCTGAGATTGGAAACCTTCAAGCATTCCTTTCTCAATATCATTAACATTACATGGAGGAAGATGTTAGGACAAGCTTTTCTCCTCTCATCCCTGCTGTCACCCCACTGTTGCCAGTGGCAGACCTGGGTAGTATGGCAAACTGTGTGAGGCCAAAATTTGGCACACACCCCCCCAGCCCTTACACTGCCTTCCCAAAGGCCGGTAAGGAGGCACCCGGTTTTGGGAAGGAGGTGTGAGGGCTCTAGCAGGGTCCTAGAGTCCTCCTATTTCCTTTTCAAAGCTGGGAAAGTGCTAACTAGGCTTTAGGAAGGAGGACTTTAGCACCCTGTCAGAGCCTCACACTTCCTTCCCAAAGCCCAGCGTCTTTGAGAGGATAGGAGGACGCCCCCTTGGCTCAGCCCCCAGTGCATGTGCACCACTCTTACAGTCCTAAATCTCTCCCTGCCGTGGCCCTCCACAAGTTGAGGAGGACTGCAGCTGGGGTCTGCTCCACACCAGTAAGGTAGGCTGCACACTGGAGACAACCAGTGGAGAGCAATGGAGGGGGTGGGAGTGACCCTGTTCCCACTTTGTCTTGCATGGAGTGTTAACTTTCTTGGAGGAAGGAACACCCAAGGA